AAACCAAGCTCGAGGAGACTGTTTCAGACCATAGAGTGACCTACGCAATCGACATACAAGGCTACTAGACTTCTTGAGCAACAAAACCAGGTGGTTGCTCCATATAGACTTCTTCCTCAAGATCACAACGCAGAAAAGCATTCTTAATGTCCAACTGATGAAGAGGCCAATGACGAACGCCAGCCATAGATAGAAAAAGACGAACAGATGCAATTTTAGCCACAGGAGCAAAAGTGTCACTATAATCTAGCCCAAATATCTGAGTATACCCTTTGGCAACAAGGCGAGCCTTAAGTCGATCAACCTGACCGTCTGGACCAATTTTGACTGCATAAACCCAACGACAACCAACAGTAGATTTACCTGCAGGAAGGGAGACAAGCTCCCAAGTACCACTCTTATGTAAAGCAGACATCTCATCAACCATAGCCTGCCTCCATCCAGAATGAGAAAGTGCTTCACCTGTAGTCTTAGGAATGGAAATAGAGGACAAAGACGACACAAATGCATAATGGGGTGATGATAGACGATGATAACTTAAGAAGGTATAATGTGGGTTAGTATTTCGAGTGGATCGTATACCTTTTTGAAGTGCAAGCGGTTGGCTAGGAGGAGGCAAGTCCGCAGTAGGAGCAGAGAGCAGGGTCCGGCGCTGACATGAATCATCTGGGACTAGGGTTGGACGTGGACGGCGATGATAAGTTAGTAGTGGTGGCACTACAACTGGAGATGTAGAAGTAATCGTAGATTCCTCAAAGGTTGGCACAGGTAAAACCTGAGGTATGGGTAAGACCATAGATATATCAGGATGATTAGAAGATGTATAGTAAGGCTGAGACTAAAAAAATGTAACATCAGCGGACATAAGGTATCGATGAAGATCATGTGAATAACAACGATACCCTTTTTGAACTCGAGAGTAACCAAGAAAGACACATTTAAGGGCACGAGGAGCTAATTTATCTTTCCCTGGGGCTAAATTATGAACAAAACATGTGCTCCCAAAGACACGAGGGGGGATAGGATAGAGATGTGACTGAGGAAACAATATGGAATGTGGAACCTGATTCTGAATAGAAGAAGACGACATTCTATTAATTAAATAACAAGATGAAAGGACTGCATCGCCCCAAAAACGCCGCGGAACATGGGATTCAATGAGGAGAGTGCGAGCAGTCTCAATGAGATGCCTATTCTTTCTTTCTGCTACACCATTTTGCTGAGGAGTGTATGGACAAGATGTTTGGTGAATAATTCCTTGGGGAGACATAAACTCCTGAAACTGGGATGATAAGTATTCTAAGGCATTATCACTACGAAAAGTACGAATAGAAACACCAAACTGATTTTGTATTTCAGCAAAGAAACTTTTGAATATAGAAAATAACTCAGAACGATCTTTCATTAAGAAAACCCAAGTGCATCTCGAATAATCATCAATGAAACTAACAAAATAACGAAATCCTAAGATGGAACTGACTCTACTAGGACCCCAAATATCAAAATGAATTAATGAAAAAATAGACTCTGAACGACCCTTAGTACTTACGTGAAAATGTAGCACGAGTGTGTTTCCCAAGTTGACACGACTCACAATCTAATGTGGATAAACTAGACAACACCATCTTTTGCAGTTTGGATAGACTTGGATGTCCCAAACGTTTGTGAATTAGATCTGGGGAATCTGTAACGGAGCAGAGCATGCTGTTAAGGAATTTAAAGAGGTAAGATTTTAAAGGCCTTGTGGTTCATGTCCTGTTCCAATCATCTGTCCCGTACTGCGGTCCTGCATGAGACATCAAAAAAGGTTATGCTACAATGTAGGGCTTTCGTCAAACGACTAACCGATGCTAGATTAAAAGGAGAACCAGGGACATAAAGAACAGAGTCTAGGGTGACAAAAGATACAGGTTTGGCTTTTCCAACCCCTTTTGGTTTGGTTCGGATCCCATTGGCTAAAGTAATAGCGGGAAGAGATTGTGAATAAACAATATCAGACAAAAGTGATTTATTACCAGAGATATGATCAGAAGCCCACGAGTCTATGACCCATGATCCAAGAGTGCTAGACTGTGACACACAAGTAAATGAATTACCCGCAACAGAAACATCAGGTTGTGCAACCGAAACTACTTGTGGAGACGTTTGTTTATTTGCACGATACCGAAGGAACTCTTAATATTCCTTAGAACAATAGGATCATAACTGGGTGGTGGACCATGCAAAATATAACATACGTCACGAGTGTGTTCAGGTTTATGACAATGACTACACTTGGATTGAGGTTTTCCAAAACGTTGTTTACTTGCGCGGTTTCGAAGGAGCTCATTATATTCCTTAAGAACAATAGGATCATAACTGGGTGGTGGACCATGCAAAATATAACATACGTCACGAGTGTGTTCAGGTTTATGACAATGACTACACTTGGATCGAGATTTTCCAAAACGTTCTTTCCCTCGTCGATTCTCCATAGACTGGTATGTATGCTGGAAACTGCCAGAAACTGCTACAGTGGTCTGAAAATATTGGAAGCTGCCGGAATCTGCCCATAGTGGCCTGAAAATTCTGATTTTGCCGGGAACTTGCCGGAAATTGCCTGAAAATCACTGGAACCCTAATTCCGGTGATCGGATCTGGAGAAAATTGGCTGGGTTCTGGTCGGAAATACTGGACGACCCCAACAGAAGAAAACTGCATGAAAACAGATGACCGGAGCAGTACTCACGCTCCAGCGCGTGACCAGATCTCACCGGAAAACTTCCACCCTCGAACGGCGCGTGGAGGCGCGTGAGGGTCTGTTTTCCGGTGGATCTAATTGGGGTTCGGTCGCCTGAGCTTCCCGAGCCTCTTGATGGTGTTGTCTTTCGCACAACACCTTCAGAACGAAAGATGACACAAATCAGTCCCAACCGTCGTCGCCGGAATTTGACACGGTGACTGGAAGTTTCTCTCCAATGCTCTGATACCATGTGAGAAATATATGGGAAAAATATTATTGAATTGTGTATCTAAATAGTTACATTGAGACCCTATTTATAGACACTACATTGGAATCCTTTTCCAACTAGGATTCCTATTCCTATTCCTATTCTAAGTAGGAAATACTTATTTCTATTCTAACACAAATGATGCTACTTTCAAGATGAAACTTATTTATTTATTTGAGAACACATGAACTATTTACTTGAAGGAAGAAACCACAGCTGGTCACACTTTCTCCTTTCTTCTCCAGCCAGCTAACACCTCTCCTTACCATCTTTCAATTCTTTCTATTTCATTTATTCAGGAAAAAGTTAAAATTCAGGATTACCATCACATTTTAATGAATTGAGATGATTTTGCTAATAATTTACTAAAACAACTACATTGGGAGAACTGAAGATCAAGTATGCTACTTCCAGAAATTGTTAGGGATACAAACCAAGTTTGCCAGTACCAGAGGAAGCTAAATCACAAAAGACTCATCTAAGTTGTATGCTTTTGGAAATTTTGAACTGGAAACTTCTTTAGAGTGCTTAGGTGCGAGTTAGTAGTTTCTCTGATTGACAAAAACATAAATGAGGTTTTATTGTGGACAATATTCAAGAAGCTCCTGTGTATATGAGTTTAGTGTACTAAGATAAGGTAAGTTTTAACTATGTGAATAAGGACAGTTATTAAGTAAGGAAAATTACCAAAATAACAAGATTCATAATAATGAGAGTGTTGGAAAGAATAAACTATACAATTAACCTAAACATGTAGTATGATTTAGAATAATATAACATGTAACAAAATACATTTGATTTTCGACTTAACTAATACATAATGGAAAGAATATCCCATACGATTAACCTATATATGTAGTATGGTCTAGAACATTCTGATGTGTAACTTAATAAATTCTCGACTTTCGACATAACAAATACATGAATCCCGCTGACAGGTCATGGACATGGAGCATGAGCTTCAAGCATTGCGAGTGCAGCTAGCAGAGAAGTGCAAGTATTCAATACAGCTTCAGAAAGAGGTATCTGCAATACCTAGTTCAAAAGTATATGCATGTATCTGTTAATGCTATCTGGTGATACTTTGGAGGACGGTGAATACCGTATTTCGTTGGTGGCACTTGTGTTTATTACAGAAAATGATAAAAAAATTGTTGGTTCTAGAAACTATCCTCAGTTCCACATTCGTCCCAGCTTTTCAGCAGCTTGACAATTGTATCTTTTGAATATATATATGTAACCAAGACAACTACCATGTCATGAAGAGAAACATGCTTTAAATGAAGATTTTTTTCCTACAAGTGTTTGGACTCAGGTAGTTCCTATTTGAGTATAAACAAGCAATAATATGCAGTCAGATAGCCATTAAATTGACGTGAAGTGATGACATGCATCTGGAGGCAGGACAATAGAACAAAATATTGGGGAATTATCATCATGTTTAGTCTTTGAATAGTATCTTGGATTCTTTCGGAAGTGAATATTGTCATGTTTCTCTTTGGAGGCTGTTGCCTTTTCACATTGTTTTTTGCTTGATTTTGGTGCTGCAGCTTCCAAAAGGTGTTATATGTCTCTGCTCTTTCTTTTTATATATTTTTCATTGATATATTCTTTTGACTATCTAATTTGTCGTTTATGGTGTAAAATTAAGTAATAGACTTATCCAGTAACACATGCTTAAAGATATTAAGCCGTGTAATCTTGGGAATCAAATGCATATGGTTTTGACTGAAAATGAGAATGACTTTAAGAAACACTGGAAGTCAAAGACATTGATGAGAATAATGTCAATGAAAGAAGTCAAAACAATGTTACTCATGTCTCTTGTTCTTATTATGTGTCCTTTCTCAAAAAGGAATCTCCTTTTCTTATTGTCCCTTGTAAAATTCTCTAAGACGATTTCGGTAAGAATTCAAGTTATGTTATTAAGGCAAAGCTGTAATCTCAGACTAAATAGTTTTGATATACCATTATGTTTGTCAGCTGGCAAGGAAGATGGGTGAGGAAACTGTATCACAATTATATGAATTAGATGGCACGGAGGCCCTGGGTTCATTTTTGCATATCCAGCCGTGTTCTCTTGCTGCTTCAGAACTATCAGAATGTACAATTCAGTGGTATCGCTTAGCGTGTGAAGGCGGAAAGCAAGAACCTATTTCAGGTATCTGAGCTTTAGTTCTTTACATTACATTGTATGTTATGCAACTTAATTGATGTTATCTAGCACATCTTGTGTTGGTCCAGTTACTTGGTGCCTGGTGGTGACTGACAGATTGTTTTCATACTTCTTGGCTGCAAAATTTTGCGATAGAAAATACTTAAGATACTGAAACATCTAGCTGGAGTATTGGGGTAAAATAGTTTTTGGATGGGCTTCTATTAACATTGGAGAAGCTGCTAAATGGACAAACTAATTATATCAAAGTATTTTCATAGAAGACACTAATTTATTCTAAGTATTACTTAATGTCTTCTTTTGTGAGTAATGGTTACCATTTACAAAAAAAAAGTCTTGTTTCATAAGTTCAATTCAGTAACTAATGACCTCTCAGGGGTTGGTTGGTGAATTTGATTTGGGGGATAAATTTTGTCGGGCGTTTGGTTTGTTTGGGAATCCTTGGATCTGGATCGAGATGACCATTAATATCCCATGATGGGATATTTCAATCCCGTGAGCCCATGGGATTAACAGGTGGTTCACCCCTTCTCCGATGTTTCTCTGTTGCCGCCTAATGCACCTGCGCCTAATCTTTTGAAATGTTTCACTTTTCTTGTTGTTTTATACGTTTATTTATTTCTGAATTCTACAACTAAAGTTTCGTTTGTAGTCTTGTTAAATATACTTTAAAGTGGCTCATATGTACTTATTACTGTATTTTGAACTTTGAAGTCAGATACTTCTTGGTGAACTACCACATATATTTGATGCATTGAGGTAAAGGGAATTTTGTAAAAATGACCCCATACAAAGCTTTTCAAATTGCTTTCACACTGGACAACCTGTACATGTTGAATCGTCCTACTCCTTTATTATAGTTTTTTATTTGTGAGCATTTTACGTTCATATGTTTGCTTGGTTCCATCTGGCATAAAGGTTATCTATTATCTTCCTCATTTTTTAAGTGACACATGCTTTTGCATTGCAATTTGATGTGTTGTATTAACTTACCCCCCTTCTGGCATGTGTTCAACAATCCTTATTTCAGGAGCCACAAAACCTGTTTATGCTCCAGAACCATTTGATGTTGGACGAATTTTGCAAGCTGAGATCACGTATGGAGGCCAGACAACATCAGTGACGACTGCTAGTCCTATTGATCCGGGTTTGTTTTGATTCCTGAAATGTAGTGCTTTCCATGTGCTTTTTAGTTCTAGTATTAACCAACATTAACTTCTGTGGGTCTGATTAGATATTGACTTAGCTGCAAACTAAGTCTGCATTTCCATACCTTCATAATGACTGGCAAAGTTTTCCTTTAACAGCTGCAGGCTTAGGGAACTATGTTGAAGCTTTGGTGCGTAGGCATGACATTGAATTCAATGTACGTTCAATTTAAAGTTTGCTCCTTTATTAGGAATTCCTCAATTAAGTTCCCTTTCGATTAATTTACTACTTTTAAGTCTCTTCTGATTGTTCTATATAGCTGTATTGTCTTTACAAGTATGTCTCCACGTCTAACTCTCAGTTCACCAATTTAAATGATCTTTCTGCCTTTTAGTTGTGTACTCCCCACCGACACATCATGTTATGCACAAGCTAATGTAATTAAATAAATGGAAGTGTCTCATCTTTAATATCTGAAGCTTGCCTTTTTGGACAAGATCAAATATTAGATGAGGCGGTTACGCAATTCAAATAAGGTTGTCCACTGGTTGTATAAAGACTTCCAAAGGGGGTTTATTAAGGGGTTCTCCAGCATTTTCTTTCTCTCATTCTACTTGTGTTTCGTCTATTTCAACATTACTCCAAAGAATTTAAAAATGATGTCAAAGTAGACAGAGGTCCTATGATCCAACTGCATCCCTGCCTGTTTATGAACAAGTATTTACATGTTTTTTACGCAAGGAAAAGAATCAGACTCATACCTGAAGGGTTGTATTTAGACATGATTAAATAAATAGAAGTGTCCATCCTCTAATAATTTAAATTATTGGATAAGGCGATAACATAATTCAGCAAAACTATCCAATTTCGAGAAGAACATAAACCTGAGAATATATGTTAATAAGAGTAAGATTGATTCCATCTTGGTCTGTTGACGTCACGTCGTAGCTGCATTTGTCTTTCTCCAACTCCTTACTTATATGTATATGTTTATTGGTGATGTTTGTAGGTGGTTGTTGTCCAGATGAACGGAACAGATCATACATCAGAGACTATCCATGTCCTTCACATTGGAAGGATGAGAATGAAACTATGTAAAGGGAAGAGCAGTGTAGCAAAAGAATACTATTCTACTTCAATGCAGGTATTGATAATGCCTACTCCCTTTGCCATTTCTTTCATTTAGGTGTTGTGAGAGCTTATAGAATAACAGAAAGTAAATACCTTCATGTTGTATAACTCACAAGGGATAGGACCGACTGCCCATTGTAGCACAAATAATAGGCCAAAGGAGTACCAATTTACTTTTTGGCTTATTATGATTTGCAAACGTCTGTACTCGGAAAGGGGATTTATGCACGACAATTTGAACAATTGTCAATGCACTTTCCCAACTAATCTGTTACACTGCCTTTTCACCACAGTTATGTGGCGTCAGAGGTGGTGGGAATGCTGCAGCTCAGGCAGCATTTTGGCAAGTAAAGACTGGACTCTCCTTTGTATTGGCGTTTGAAACGGAGAGAGAAAGAAATGCAGCCATTATGCTGGCCAGAAGATTTGCCTACGACTGCAATGTAAGTGTTAAGGCATTTTCTTTCTTTTGGCTGCAGATGAATATTGTAGCATCATTACATATCATAGCACTTCTTAGACTAATCATTAAACAGTTATGTTGTTCTTTTTTAATCCAGTTTGAATGTGAACAATTCCCAATACTAGCTATTCCTATACTCTTTATGTATATTTTTTGCGACTTATTTTTATAGGCATTGATATATATATTTATATATAATTTTAACAACCAAATGGAGAGGGACAGAGCCTAATCTCCTTTTACATCTTAGGACAAGAAAGATCCTATCCTATTAAGATTCTGATCCAATGATCTTTACAAAACAAAACTATATTGATGCATTTAAAATACAACTGTTAATGCATATAAAAAAAGTATTCAAGGTGGATCAAATTGCCAGGTATTAGTCTTCTTGGCTCTTCTTCGGAAGGTTGGAAAATCCAATTTATTCATCCTAAGAAGGCCTTTAGCCACTTCTGGAAGATCAACTTCTTGCAAAAAAATCTTTGGGTCTTGAATTTGAGTGGTATATTTTGCTAGAGCATCTGCCACTTCATTTGCCTCTCTATAACAATGTTTACCTGTGATATTTTTGTGGCTAATTAAGAGTTTTATTTCATCAATGATACCTAGAATCCTCCAAAGAGGCTTAACAAAATGCCAAATAGTAAAGTTGATCAATCTATTAATGATTTCTTAATCACCGTTTCAAATAGAAAGTGCCCATCTAATATGGGACGGAGGGAGTATTACATATTGTAAGCATCATTACATATCGTAGCACTTGTAAGACAAGTGGTTCCTAGTTTGTCAGTCTTCAGTACATCTATTGTGTAACTTGTGTTGCTTAAATTTGCAGATTATGCTATCTGGACCGGATGATAGAGCCGCTCCTGGATCTTAAGAAAGCTACTATAATGAAAAGTTGTAATTATACCGACTCTGATGTATCTATAGGTGTTTTGTAGTAGTGAATATGCTATAGGGTTGATTGTTGAGTGGCATTTTTTCACCACCTTCTTGTCTTCTCTTTATTTCTATCTTGATAGCAAAGGCATTGTTTTTTTGTGTCCCTAGCTCTATTTGATTGTAATGATTCTTTGCTCCTTGTTTCTTTGTTTTGTCAAGTGATTGTAATTGAGCTCAACATACATTTGATTTTTGAATGGCTTGTAGTGATTATTGGCTTATGTTCTTCAAACAACAATCCATTTTTTGGTTTGGATGGAATGGTTGTATAACTAAATCATGCTGAAGTTCCAACATGACTTTGATCAAAACTAATTTTTATCTTCCTATAGTCATTTGGCTGGCTATCGAAAGAAAAAGCTTGCATCGGCTTCCCCTACTATATAACTGGTCATATCTCTCTGCAAACTTAACGTGGTAGTTTCCCATCACTTTCCATCTATCGATTAAAGCCATCTCTCTGCAACCTAACATGGTTGATTATTTCTATAGAGTGACATAGCTCTGAACTCAGATTCTGTACTGGATCGAGATACAACACTTTGCTTCTTACTCCTCCATGAAACTAGGTTACACAATAGCCTGTAGTCGAAAGCGGAGCGTCCTTAACTCAGAATTATAGCACATAGATAGGGCTTCTTTGAATAGGACTAGTAATATACTATTGTTCTTAAGTTCTTCAACTCTCAAGTCTGGTTATTCAATACTCTATTTAACATTAATAACATAAAACTTTCCTAGTGATACTACTAACTTCTAACACTGGACCTCAGGTTGTTCTTGTTCTCTTGCTCAATTATTTGATTTGATTTCATTTCTTACTCGTTATTAGCCTTGTTTACATAAATTGAAGCAAGTTAAACTATCTTAATCACGCATTACCAGTCGTTTCAATTTACGTGTCCTTGAGTCACGTTTATAAATTTAACTAAGCCTTTTTAAAAAGAAAATTACAACACTTTATCGAGACGAATATTGGGTAAATCATCCTTTTCTATTTATAACAAGGTTGAATAATTTTTGAATTGTCCAAAAGGGGAAGTATATACATCTAATCTAATATAATAAGACATGAATGAATAATTTTGTTTTGTATGTTTAGATTCATTCCACCAGAGACTAGGAAAAATGTCATTTTGTGAAATCAATAAACGATAAAAATTGGTTAAAATCTTTGTACTTATTATTTGGTCACCTTTTGAAGTATCAGACTGACCCATTAACAATCAAATCTGGAAAAAAAGACTTATTGGCAATATATATATGGAAGCACCCCTAAATCTGGCATGAATTCTCGAACTATTAGCATCCTTAAAAATACTCTTCTATTTGATTAACTAAACTTAGATACATCCCGACCTGTCACACGATATAACAAGTGGTCTCAAACTCTTGTAAGAGTATGAGACTCTTAAGTCTTAATAAAAAGTCGAGATATAACAAGTGGTCTCAAACTCTTGCAGGAGAATGAGATTCTGAAGTCTTAATAAAAAGTCGAGCTATAACAAGTGGTCTCAAACTCTTGTAGAAGCATGAGGCTCTTAATAAAAAGGTCGAGAGGAGTGTTGAAAACACCCCTAAACTTGACGAGAATTTAGGAGTGTATTTCACTCATATTACAAGATACGTGGTGTATTTAAGTTCAATTAATCAAGTAAAGAATATTTTTAAGATTGTTAATAATTCGAAGATAAAACTAACAATTCGCATCAAATTTAGGGACGTTTTCAATACTTCCCTCAAATATTTTTGTTTGGAAGAATCTACCAAACTTGTTGGCACAATAGAATTTTTCATTTAGAAAGTTACCCATCAATTGCATATAATTAATAGACTTCTTCTATTGCCATCAATTAGGACTTCCACTTTGATTAATATCTATTTTATTCTTTGACTTATGGGTTTAGTCCATACGTGTTAAATAAACTTCAATTATATAAATAAACTTTTAGTTGATTTCAAAGTATTAAATTATAACTTTATCCAATATTGAATTATATATTTAAAAGGATGATAATACTTAGTTTTTGATAAATATAATACTCGCATACATAAATTTAATTTATAAACATTACAATTTTATACAATATGAAAGTACCTTTGGGAAGGAATAATATATCTTTTGAAAGACATTTATAAAATATTGTCAACATTTCGTGTTTGACATTTAAAAAATAAAATAAAATATGTATATTCTAGATTTATTGCCCTTAATGTTAGGGTGAGTCAAAATACAATTCTTGACATATTTTTTGATATATAAGTAAGCATTTCATATTTGTTTTTGACCATAAGGTTAACATATTATAAGAATAATAATATTAAATATTAGAAAAATGATGACTTATTTGCTTTATTCATGATACCATGACATGTACATCTATTCACGATTTTAAAGTGAATAAAGCTTAATCTATTTTAAAAAGAGAAAATCGATAAAGTTTCCTTTTTAACTTATACATTTAAAAAAAATAAAAATAGAAGGTTCTATTACCCACAATTATTTAAAAGTAATATATGTATATATTTATCAACTTTGATATTGCACATCATTTTAATTACTTTTTCTTTTTCGTCTATCGTTTAGATTCCGAATTCATAAGAATACAACTAATTCACCCCTCCCCTTTTAAAAAAAAAAAATCAAGCAAAAAAAAGGAGTTAGGTCAAAATAGTACAAAAGTTCATATAAGGATTTGTCAACATTCCCAGGTTGAAAAATTAGAATTTGTATTTGACCAAAAAGTTAAAATCTTTCTCCTGAAGCATAAAATTTGTACATGAATGCAATTAAATCTTATTATTTTAAATCTACTTAATTAGTTTATCATTTTAATCATTTATGTTGCATGAGAATGTACGTAGCATGACATTTTAGAAAGTTGCTTTACAAGAAAAAGAAAAAAAAGATCAATCATTTCAAAGTGCACTCCACCTAACATTAGAAGAATGGTAACTTTTTGTTGTTTTTAACCAAAAAATAATAAAGTCATTTTTCCTTTGTTCTAAAATATCGTGTCAATTCAAATGATGTTATATAAAATGAGATGGAGGAAGTAATGATTTTGTTGTCACCTTTTTTTAAGGCTACAATTAGTAATTAGAATAAAATAAAGAGAGAAAATTATAAAAATCCCACTAGTTTAGGAGATAATTATTTAGATATAGTTTAGTTTGTAATATTATGATCTAGATACAGATTTTGGTGCATCCAGATACATCCAGGTACATGTATCTCGGGATACATGAAGTCAAAATTAGGTGTAATTTATTCTAGATATACTATATTCAAGTGGATTCACATGTATGTATATATATACACACACACGATATGACACTAAAAGTTGTAGCATCTTTCATATCGAGCTATTGGACCATTTGGGAAGTTGGTCAGTCTGGTTCAAATCACGGATTTCTTGCAGAAAAAATCCTCGACAAGACTTCAAATGTGCGGATTTAGACAAATCTCCCTCGCTGCCCTCCCATCTCGCTCGTCACTCTCTTAGATAGCTAATATCCCAGATACATGTGAATCTAATCAGATACATACAAATACATGCATCTAGTTTGTATTTAGTGTGATTTGCATGTATTTAAGATATATGACTATCTCTCTTCCTGTCTCCCTCACCTCTATCCTTATTTTAGTGTATTTGGTAGTAAAACTACATGTATCTAGGTGTATCATTCTTAATATATGGTAGAAAACTCCTAATTAGTAGTTAAAATACATAATTATTTAAAAGTATAGATAAAATTAGTGTATATGGTATGTATATTTGTCTAAAAGAGGTAATTTTCCCATAAAATAAAATATATGTGGTGGTTAATGAATGTTTACGAAATAATTGAAGACTATATCTTTATAGAATACTTTTCTTTGCTTAACTGATACTAAATCAGTATCATATACTGCATTGGTATCATTAAGGCTAACAATTTTACTTAACTGATACTAAATCAATATCATATGCTATATTGGTATAATTAAGGCTGATAATTTCGCTTAATTGATACTAAATCAGTATATATATATATATATACTGTATTGGTATCATTAATGTTTCTTGTTAAAAAATTACTCATTAGTAAATGATACTATAGTAAATGATACTATAAGGTTTCTTGTTCAGAAATTACTTATTAGTATATATATACTGATTTGGTATCAAGTTAAACGAAATTATCAACCTTAATGATACCAATATAGTATATGATACTGATTTAGCTAGCGTTTGGCCATAGATTTTCAAATTTTTTGGCAAATATTATTTGGGTAAAAATTTGGGTGAAATTCACCATGTGTTTGACCATACTATTTGGGAAATATATTTTCACCTTTTTAAGAAATATGATTTATACCCACAAGTTTTAAAAACTATCAAAACTAACCATATGTTTGTATTACATAGCACATGACTTTGTTACCATAAGTGGATTGTTATCATTTTCATCCCAACCATATATATCATCACTTTCATATTTACTGAATATTCCATCACTACTTGATGTTCACGTAAAAAATTATGTAAAACAACGCAAACAACTACTATAGAGGGTGTTCTTGTAAAAAGATAAAAAAAATTGGTGTAGAATTTGAATTATTAAAAGTTCCCAAATAATGAGATTTGACCCAAATACTAGTTTTTTCTAGTATTTGGGAATTTTGGGTTATTTGCCAAATAATGACAAATTGTATGGACAAACACAATTTTTTTTTAAAAGTATGGACAAACACTATTTGCCAAATTTATTTCCAAATTTTATTTGGAAAATCTATGGCCAAACGGGCCCTTAGTATTAGTTAAGCAAAAATTATTAGTCTTAATGATACCAATACAGTATATGATACTGATTTAGTATTACTTAAGCGAAAATTATCAGCCTTAATAAATGGGGGGTATGGGCTATAATTATTTATGAGAGAATGAGTATTTCGGGAATTACTTTGGATTTGGATATGAACTTGTAATTATTTTGAATTTTATGGCCTATTTATGTAGTTTTCCCTTATAAATTTAGTGACAAATTAGTAAAGGATTATCAAAAAGTATTATTAGGTAGGAGTAATTTAACGACGAATTAACAACGAAATTTATAGCTAATTCTTTTAATGTCATAACAAATTACAAGAGTATAAAAGGATAAATTAGTTGATGATTGCACATCCTTTAGGAAAATATAAAGATTGATTCCAAACTCAAGAGGACTAAATGTATTT